GAACAGATGTAAGCTAGGTGGTGATTTTGCTAAAATGCAAATATTCAATGACTGTATCATTGGGTTGGATATTGTAGATTTACCTTTCAATGGCAGGAACTACACTTGGAGCAACATGCAGTCTGATCCTCTATTGGTAAAATTGGATTGGGTCTTCACCAATGCAGCCTGGAATATGTCTTACCCAGCAACAGTGGTTCAACCTCTTTCCAGGCCCATTTCTGATCATATTCCTTTTATCATACACATTGATAGCTGCATTCCCAAAGCTAATACCTTCCGATTTGAGAATTTTTGGCTTCAGCATCCAGGCTTCAAGGAAACTATTGCTACATATTGGCACAATTCACCTATCTTTGGTAATGCAGCAAGGAACATCTCAGCCAAATTCAAGCAAGTCAGGGCAGGGCTTAGACAATGGAGCAAAAGCCTGTCCAAGCTCAGCATGCTCATTCACAATTGTAATTGGGTTCTACTGCTTCTTGATGGGTTGGAGGATCAAAGATCACTGTCAACCCTTGAGAAAAGATTCAGAGGTTTAGTCAAAGATCATTTGTCTACATTAACTGAATCTAGAAGAATTTTTTGGAAATAAAGAAACACCATCAGATGGGTCAATCTGGGTGATGAGAATACGTCCTTCTTTCACAACATGGCAACTCTATCCCACAAAAAGAATTTTATTACTTGCCTAACCATCCCTGGTGACTCAATCATTTTTTATCATGAACAGAAGGCTCAAATTATGTGGGATAGATTCAGGAAGATAATGGGGGTTACTGATTTCACCCAAATATACTATGATCTATCATCCTTAATCACTGCCCTGCCAATGGAACAGTTAAATTTGGACAGTGACTTTACTGAGGATGAATCACTTCCACCATTAAAAATCTGCCCAATAACCATGCTCCTGGGCCTGATGGATTTAAATGATGCTTCATTAAGAATTGTTGGGATATTATCAAAAATGATTTTTGAGACTTTTCAGGGATTTCTATAGCACATACCTAGAAATGAGAAGCATCAACTCTTCTCACATTGCACTTATAAAAAAAATCAAACCCTGAAAGTGTAGATGACTACATGCCCATCTCTTTACTCAATTATTCTCTAAAAAGCATCACAAAGATTCTTTCATGAAGACTCCAAACAGTTATTCTAAAGTTGATACATGCAAATCAGTATGGGTTTATCAGAGGGAGGACCATACAAGATTGCCTAACATGGGCATTTTAATTTCTACACATTTGCCATCACTCCAAAAAGGAAATTGTTTTTCTTAAACTAGATTTTGAAAATGCCTTTATAAGGTGGAACATGAAGTCATCTTACAGGTGCTAAAATATAAAGGCTTCTTTGATAAATGGGTAAACTGGGTTAGAAACATTTTATGCTCAGGAGATTCTTCAGTTCTGCTAAATGGAACACCAGGCAAACCTCTCACATTCAGAAGAGGGGTGAGACAGGGGGATCCCTTATCCCCTTTGCTTTTTGTCCTAGTAGCTGATCTGCTACAATCCATAGTGAACAAAGCTTGGAATATTGGTGTGCTGAAATATCCTATCAGTGATGCTTTTGGGGGTGACTTCCCAATAGTCCAATATGCAGATGATACACTGCTTATCCTCCCTGCTGATGGTAGAATTCTTTTCAATCTAAAGGGACTGCTCAGATCCTTATCTGACTCCACAGGGTTACATGTCAATTCCAATAAATCATTCCTGGTGCCAATTAATATCTCAAAAAGTAAAATAGTTCATCTAGGAAATACCTTTGGTTGTGCAGTTGGATCAATGCCATTTACTTATCTGGGATTACCTTTGGGCACCACAAAGCCAACACTGCAAGATTTCTCACCAATGATGACAAGAATTGAAAATAGGCTATCTGTTGTTAGCATTTTTTTATCTTACCATGGTAGATTGATTTTGGTTAACTCAGTCATGATAGCATTGCCAACTTTCTACATGTGCACTTTGTAGCTCCCCCCTCAGATCATCAAGCAAATTGACAGCTACAGAAAGAAATGCCTATGGAGTGGAGGTGAGATAAATAGAAAAGGTAACTGTCTTGCTGCTTGGGAGACAGCTTGTAGACCAAAGAAAGAAGGTGGACTTGGCATAATTGATCTAAAAACCAGAACACTGCTCTACTCATAAAATATCTGGATAAGTTCTACAATTCAGCTAATCTCCCCTGGGTCACCCTAACTTGGACCAAACTTTATGGCAATTCTCAAACTCCACCTCAAGCAAGGAGCCCATCTAGATCCTTTTGGTGGAAAGACATTCTAAAACTCTTTGACAAGTTCATATACATTTCTATCTGCATACCAAAGAAAGGAAACACAGTTCTATTTTGGCTAGAAGATTGGTCTGGCAATGCTCTGAAAGTGAGGTTTCCCTAGCTCTTCTCCTTTGTCAAAAGGCCTAAGTCCTCTCTTCTGCACCTCAGAAATCAGGAGATAGACAAAATTTTCAGCCTTCCCCTCTCTAGCCAAGCAGTTTCTCAGCTCAGTGACCTGCAAAATACACTGCAAAATAGTAACTTGGAATCGGATATAAATGATATATGGAAATACCCTTGGGGTGATTTTTTCAGTTCTAGCAAAGCCTATAAAAAAATTAAGAGGTATAGTGAAAGCTTCTCCTCTCTTCAAATGGCTATGGACTTCAAGCAATCTAGGGAAGCATAAATTCTTCTTCTGGCTGTTGTTGAGAGATAGACTAAACACTAGAAATATTTTGAGAAGGGAAAACAAAATTTTGGATGATTACAATTGTGTACTTTGCAATAGTTGCTGTGAAGAAACTCTTTTTCATCTTTTCTTCAGCTGTCCCTTCAGTCAGGATTGTTGGAACTCCGTGCTCTGATGCTCATCTATTGGAATGACAATCTAGATCCCCTGGATATGATTATTGAAGCCAAAACATTGTTTGGTCACTCCATCTTCAGGGAGCTCATGATTACAGCTTGTTGGATCATATGGAGGAGAATGCCATCATCTTTGATCATGGAAATTGCAGCTTGTCAAACTGGAAGAGAATGTTCAAGGAGGAGCTTAGCCTAGTGTGTATCAAGGCTAAACCTGAGAAGAGGGCACAACTTATGCTATGGCGAGACAGTTACTCCTAATGCTCTCCTTTTTTGCTTTTGGGCCTAGTTGCCTTGTATTTCTAGTTGTAGTTGATGTAGTAGTTGTTGTTGTTTTAGTTGTAGTTAGTTGTTTTAGTTTCTCCTTTCCCTCTCTGTTCCGTCTCCTCTGTTGCCCCCCCCCCCCTTCCTTTCCCTCCTGTACTTTTGTATTTGTGCTGTTTTTGCCTCTTTGCTAATGAAAATGAAAAATATAGGTAGGGGCTCCCCTGCTAATTCTTCAAAAAAAAGTCTGCCTCAACGTGGAAAAGAAAGAAATAAAAGGCAAAAGAAAAATAAATGGAGATGTTAACATGGAATTTGGTCGTTATTGTGAACTCCTGACGACAGGGCAATAGCAGCCTCCTGGTGTTTCGTAATAAGTAACGCAATGTAAACTTAGCGTCTGATATGATACGAGCGCTTTTGTAACTTATTTGGCTATTTTAGAGCCACTGATAATCAATCAATCAGGTGGGGGATGCTCTCCCCCCCTAGACTTCTTTAAAAAAATCATCTTCGTACTAATTAGAGCAAGAGCAGAACAAAACGTTCCAACCAGTAACAGAAGTTACTCCATCAGCTAGTTAGTTGAATTTTTTACCATGAAACCGACGCACCGCCACCAGATAGACAAAAAATCATTATCCACAGCTATCATATACTTTCTCCATCCACAAAAGAATGTAATTCTCATATTTTGATAAGTCAAACAGTTTGAACTTTGACTAAATTTATATATAAAGGCGCTAACATTCATGATACAAAATAAGTACCATTAAATTAGTCATAGAATATATTTCCATCATAATTTTATTTGGAGACATAAATGCTAATATTATTTACTATAAATTTGGTCAAACTTGAGCTACTTTCACTGGTGCGAACCTCATAATTACATTCTTTACTCGACTGAGGGAGTAACTGAGAAGGCATGAAAACTTCTAAATTCACGGCTCCAAGAAGAAGCACACTGATAACTGGCGTTGACTTACTAGTGATCTATCACCGCCCCCGCCGCGACCCTCCACTGCTCTACCCTTGCGCTCTGCTTCTCATGTTTGGCCTTCAATGATAGAAGACCATGTTCAAACAGACACGGCTCAGATTGATACCTGCCTCGTCCTAGAAGACCATGGACTGACCTATTAGGACACGAAATTTTAATTGACTCCCTCCATCCTGAAATATATTGTATTTTGATTTGAGTTGTGTTCAGTTAAACTTTCATAAGCTTGATCAAGTCTATAGAAACAATGTCAAATGAGCATTATTAGATATCTTGTGAAATTTATTTTTATATTTACCCATTTGAGGATGTAGATGTTAATACTTTTCCTATAAATTTGCTGTGGTTTGACTTATGTCAAACTCAATCCATTATATATAAAGAAGGGACTAGACGTTAGGTTCAAAGCAGTGACAAATCTGATTATCTGAGTTGGAATGGCCACGCCTTCATGCAGCCAAGTTGATGCCTTCCTAGGCTGAGAAAGCTTCGGACTGATCCATGGCACTGAGACGAAACTGAACACATTAGAGGAGGGGACGTAAGTATACAACTACCTTATGGGATACATGGACTTAGACCATAGAAAGTCCATGTTTGGTAAAAAAAATAGACTTTGTCATTAAATTTTTGTTTTGTCAGGCCAAACTCTATATTTAAGGGTTATTTGCTTCCAAATCTCCCAGGCAGCAAACACGCCACTCAGCAATCCCAGCCGCATCCAAAATGAAGAATGCTTCGTGCGCCAGGCAAAGCGGCTAAGCTGCTTGGTAGCAAAGCAAACAGGCCCTACAGCTTATGCAGCTTGAGGACACGAACTCACTGGACTTTCGTTGATGATAGCCGTTAGTTCGCTTCAACGGAGAGAACGTGCGACCCGACCGGATTGAGGCATGCGGCATGCCAACCGAACAGACTTCAAAAAAGACTTAGACGACGACCATGACCGACACACGAACACGATGACGCTGGACCCTGGACTCTGGAGACATGACATGGTGATGGTGAAGGAAAACACATGACCAGATGCCGTGACTCCTCTTATTGCCAACATTTGTTGGACGGACACATACGCTGACATCCCATGCACGTAACGTAAAAAGTAGTCCCGTTCTGAATTTCTGATGCATATTGGGGTACGGCGTTGGCTCGCCACTAGACGCGCCGCTGGCCGCCGTGGCCGGAGGTCCAGTCGCGGCCCGCGCGGCGGACGCCGAGGTGGAACCTGAGCATGGCCGCGACGATCGCGCCGGCCTGGTCCGGCGCGAGCAGCCCGACGACGGCGCGCAGCGTGCGGTCCCCTTAGCGCGTCGGCCGCGGCCAGCAGCACGCGCAGCGAGCGCCCGACGGCGGCGACGGCCTCGTCCGCCTCGCCGTTCCGCGGGGCTGCCTGCGCAGCGCGGCCAGCGCCCGTGGCCCCGCCAGCGACTCCTGCACGGCCGCCACCTGCAGGTCCACCTCCCGCTCCGCGGCCGCCGTGGCGGCGCGGAGCTCCTCCAGCGCGCGCCGCTGCTCGGGTCCCACGCCGATCCCCGCGCCGACGCCGCCGGTCTCCACGAAGCGGAACATGAGCGCGGGCTTCCATCCCCAGGCCCACAGGAAGGTGCGCTCGAGCGGGTTGAGCCAGCGCGGCCACGACGTCGCGGTCGGCCAGCCGGGACTTGTGCTCGTAATAGGCGGCGACGTGCGCGACGGCGGCGTCCACGAGCGGCGCCAGCGCGTCGCTCCGGCGCCGGGGCGGGAGCGCGAGCGCCGCCGTGAGGTCGGCCACGATCTGCTCCTCCCGGCCCACCCAGGCGTCGTAGAACGCCTCCATGTCGTCGGAGTAGTACATGCCGCCGGTGGGAGGGGGAGGACTTGGGCGGCGCTCTTGAGGCGAGCGCGGCTGCGGCGGCATCTTTGTGGGGCGCGACCGCGCGAGCATAAATGGCGCCCGGTTTCTTTGCGTTTAAGGATCTCGAGGACAGAGCATCCTGGGGGGAGCCGCGAGGAGAGGTGAGAATTCCGCGGCGGCACGTCACCGAGGCAGGCAGAGGCTGACCAATTCGCAGTTGGTCGGTGCCGCGTGGCCTTCCGGCTCGCTGGCGCCGGGGTTGCCGGGTTGGTGTTGGTGGTTCCCCGCGTAGCAATAGCAACAACCAACGGAGCCACATGCCCACACCTGTGGCCTGTGGGCGGGCGACGGGACTGGAGAGCCAGGATGGAGGTAGGCATGCCGGACTTCGCTTTGCTTGCTTCCCCGCGTGCGACACTGTGCTCAGAGCGTCTCATATATGGTTGAGGTAATTCCCTCGTTGCCTCTAAAAATTATAACACTCCTTCAGTGTCATTAAAATTTCCAAATTTCCTTCACCGCCATCGAATACTTTTTTTGTGTTTCTTTCATTGCCATTTCCGTTAAAACAAATTAACTTATAGTCGCTGACAGCTGGGATCCACCATTTATCTCTGTTATCCATCCGTCTACTACCTGCCGGGGTGCACCAAGCGTCGTCTGTGGGCCGGCCTGGCCGCGCCGAGCGCAGGGGCCACGGCGGCAACAACCTGGTCACATGGCCCCAGCGGTTGAGGGACATCTAATTATTTGCCACTCTTACGGAGGCTGCCTCTCTGATTGTCAACTTTATGGTGGCAACTACAAAAATGTCCTAAAAAATAGTAACTCGTCTAATATTTTACTATTTTTGCTGACGTGGCATGTCAGATCAGCCAGCCAGCTTGGGAACGGGCCGTTGACGCTCGAAGACCGAAGGAAAAAGACCATTCTACCCCCGCCATGTATTGCTCAACAAGCGCCGTCTCCCTCCCATCTGTTCAGTCCCATCGACAGGAATTATTAAAACTGACCACCGCCACCGGTAACAAACTCGATCTACCATCGATGCCATAACCAACTATGCGTACACGTGTTAGCAATTAGCATCTGGCGTGACATATTCCGTGATTATTTTTTATTTTCCGATCACGGCGTTTTGGTCTTTTGGTGCGTATACGTGTCGCTCCGTTTGACTCGGGCACTCGGTAAGGGAAAAAGATTGTGGCCCCATACCCATTTTTGTGGCTAGACTCTAGAGATCACTTGTGTCCGACAATACTGTACGTATATGTCCTAAATTCCATTCACGATCGAGTACACGTATGTATATGCATGCTGCACACGTTGTATGTCACGTCACGTTGTATGTGTATCTACGAGGGCATGAACTCCTTGTCGATGACCTTGTAGTGCTTCTTGGCGTCGTACTGCTGCACGATGAGCACGGAGGCGGTGGTGGAGAAGTCGGAGGACGCGAGGATATCGCCGACGGGGCCCAGCTCCAGGCACTCGGCCCACTCGTCCAGCCCCTCCGTCAGCACCGAGCTGCGGTCCCTGCCGCGCCCCACGATGAAGAGCCGGTAATCCGCCTGCATGCCCCGGAGCACCGCCACCAGCTCCGCCCCGTCCGCCACGTGCTTCTCCAGGTACCCGATGGCGGCCACGGCGGCGCCCGGCTGCTTGCTCCCGGACACGTGCTTCCGGTAGAACTCCGCGAAGAACTTGTCGTCCACCTGCATCTGCGCCTCCTCCTGCCCCGGCTGCCCTTGCTCTCGAACAGGCTCGTCCGGGTCCTGGCGCGCGCCTGCGCCGTCGCGTTCTGCACCACGCGCAGCGCCGTCAAACGCACGCCCGGGTGCTTCACTACTACAGAATGGATTTGTTGTCCCGGACGGTAACGGTCTTTAGTCTTGGTTACCGTGTCAGGACAACGATCCCGGGACTAAAGGTGCCACCTTTAGCTCCGGATCATCGAGCCGGGACTAAAGAGGGACCTCTAGTCCCGGTTGATGTCACCGGGACTAAAGATCCTCCAGCCGAGCAAACATGGCCGCACCCTTTAGTCCCGGTTGGTAACCCAATCAGGACTAAAGGTTTCTTTTCTTTTTCTTTTTTTTTTGTTTAATTTGTTTTCAGTTCAGTTACACATATTTGTTTAATATATAATATGTTTTTATGTACGTATTCTACGCTGCTAATATAAATACACGCACGCATATAATTACATATAATTCTCATCTCGAGTATTATTATATTCGAATAAAGTATGAACCTATATATTATATATATATATATAACACTTTCATAATCTTGTTCTCGAAAATAACGATATCAATAAACATTTAATTTACACCGTTTATTTCTTAGGATCAAAGTAGAACTCGCCGTTGGGATTTAGTATTTTTTCTAGAAGAAATCTTGCTATTGACTCTTAAACTGCTTTCAGATGGTCTTTTTGCATGACCCTTTATTTCAACCATTCAGTCTTGCATTTGAAATAAAAAGAAAAGTATTAATACATACATATATATATATATATTCATTTAAAAATAAATAAAAAATTGATATATATGTACTCTGAGGACATCTTTAGGAGTTCTTCTTATGTGCGCAGTGATAAATTCACAAACGTAGTATCCACATAAGTTATTACTTGGTTGCTGCCGCAAACACCACTGTACGAGAAGAAGATTATTCTCATCATCTCACACGTAAATTGAAATACGATATAGTGATTAAACACGTGGGGAAGTATATATAGTACAACTTACTGGTATTTCAACTACATTAAGTGGTGCCTTGCAATCCTTGCGGTGTTGCCGAATAAACTCTTTCCAAACCCTGTGCGACCAATAATGTACGATCGTTAATAAATTATGACAAAGTCTATTCAATAATAGTTGTGCGCGAGAGATCGAAATTACCCCTGAATAATGTCTATCATATCTTGGTATAGTGCCCGCTCTTTTCTCTTCGAGTCCAAGATTACTAACCGACTTGAGTTTAACTCAATGACAATGAGTATCCAGTGAAACCTACATTGGTTTATACACACGTACATGTATATAAGTTGTATTGATATTACATAAAATGTGTAGACTACATTATTATTAACACTTACTCAAAGCTGTACAGGAAAAGTATTGTTGTCTTGTCATGCTGCTTCACGAAGAACCTCATGATATTCTTCTGTGCTTCAGATACCCACTGCTCCTTGGAATAATATCGGTTTTGAATACGATATAAGGATCAATGAAGTCAACACTGATGTCTTGTATTCTTTGGAGCTCTGACATCTGGAATCTGTATATAAATATAAGTTACATGTGAGGATAATTATATACACGTACGCATGGAAGTGAGTTTATTAAATAAAAGTAAGAATCACTTACAAACAAAAGGAGCTAATGATTGATTTGTCCAGAGCGTCCATGTGGCATAGTTGATGCAATTCTTCGAAACTAATATGTAAGATGTTATCGCCACGAAAGTAATGATGGTCTCTAAATCTGACAAAGATCTACTCCTCACCCCTGCCACACGCCTGTATGTACCACTTATTGAGTAAGTACATTTGCGTACCCAATTCATTCAGAGCCACAGGGTTGTACAGACTTTTGCCATATTTATAAGTCTTCCAAGTATCAACTTTCAGGTTCTGGATTGGAGCTTTGCCCGTCAATTGATCCAAGGTTAAACCAGTATCTTCAAAAAAAGCATTAAGGGCTTGAACCGATACTTTTCTAGAGTTGTCTAGTCGATAGACTTCTATATTGAAACCATATTCATTAGTAACAACAAGATTTTGCATTGGTTGCTGAAAGGATCAAGATGCCCAAGAGGGGGGGTGAATTGGGCTAATTCGAAATTCTCTTGCAATAAACAAATCCTACGGATAGCCCAATTAACCCCTTGTGCCTAGAAAAGTGTTTCTATCAAACTAAAGCACAACGAACTCACCACCTATGTTCCAACCTTACTCAAGCAAGCAATTCTATGGATGTAAAACAAGTATTGAATTGCTCAAAGTAAATAGGGAGAGAAAGGAACGCGGCGATGTTTTGCCGAGGTATCAAGAGTCGCCACTCTCCACTAGTCCTCGTTGGAGCACCAGCGCAAAGGATGTAGCTCCCCTTGATCCGCGCAAGGATCAAGTGCTCTCTATGGGTTGATTCTTCGACACTCCGTCGCGGCGAATCACCCAAAGCCGCTCACAACTTGAGTTGGGTCACCCACAAGCTCCGCCGGGTGAACACCAAACTCCCAATCACCACCAAGCCGTCTAGGTGATGGCGATCACCAAGAGTAACAAGCACGAACTCTCACTTGACCACGCCGAAGCCTAATGAGAAGATGGATGCACACTTTGCTACTCTTGATTTGCTAGTGAGGCTACTCTCTTGGATTCTCAAATCACAAACACCTCTCTAGGACCTTGCTCTTCTTGGCACTCACAAACGTGTTTCAAATTTGTTGGAATGAGTAAAGTTCCTCCACTCACGAGTGGAGCTTCTATTTATAAGGCAGACTGAAAAACTAACCGTTATGAGCTTTCGCGGACGACCGGACGCCCGATCGTGATGACCGGACGCCCGGTCAGTTCAACCCGCTGAACCAAGCATTCAAGTGATGACCGGACGCCGACAGGTCCGGTCAAGTACCGACGGACGCGCGTCGGTCGCTCTGGATGCTTATCAGTAAACGACCGGACGCTGGATACTGTGGTCCGGTTATATTGACCGGACGCGTCCGGTCACTTTTTTTCAAGTCTCGACCCTCATCGAGTCGACCGGACGCTAGCCCTCGGCGTCCGGTCACACGACCTTCCAAGCGTCCGGTCACAACAGATTTTAACCACCTGGGTCAAACGAATCGACCGGGACCTCGCATGGCGTCGTCCGTCGCACCGAGAGCCGTCCGTCTGTCGGTGTTTGACCCTCCATTCACTTCTAACTTACGAACATATGTGAATGAAGTTTGCTCCAAAGGATCTTAGGCATTCATAGGAGCTACCTAGAGCTAGTTTTAACAAGTGTGCACCACACCTAACTCACTAGACTCAACTAGGTCAAGCTACCCGCTCATACCCCCTTTATAGTACGGCCAAAGGAAAAACAAAGTCCTAAACTACTCTAAATGTCTCTCCAACTCCAATCGACACTTAGAACTAGTTATCCTTAACCTTGTCGTCCATCCTTTGAAAACCAAACGATTTCCATCGAGGGGCATGACAACCTCGATTGCCCAATCGATCTCCATTACCATGACCTAACTTAGTTGCCTCTGCAAAACACACGTTAGTCATAGTAATCTTGTATTGACATTAATCACCGAAATCCAACTAGGGGCCTAGATGCTTTCAATCTCCCCCTTTTTGGTGATTGATGACAATACCACCTCGAGTATGTTATGGAGTGAGGTTTTTTTTTTTTTTTTTTTTGACGGGCTTGGTTCATATAAGCTTTTGTCAATAAGAACAAAAGAGTTAGTCAAGCTTATATGACCCAAGCCAACACAATGTACTCAAAGGATATGAATTAAGCATGAGTACAATTAACAAAGCTCATTTGCTTCGAAGTATAAACGCGGAAGCAAAAGCAAATGAGCATAACACAAGTGATATGACATATAGAAAATGCAAAGTAGAAGTCACACATGTCAAATATCACAGTCACGTAGATAGCACTATCACATATATATAATAGTATGCATGAAAGTAAACACACGAATGCATAAGTAATAGTGTATCACACAAATAAAACTCCAAATGTATATAAAAAGGCTAATACTAGATAACTAGCTCCCCTAAATAACTCCCCTGGCTCCCCTAAAGCTCGCTCCCCCGAGTCTACATACTCAAAACCTCTCCCCTTTGGCGCCAAACACCAAAACCTAAGGGTCGGTCGGAGGGCTGCAATGGACGAAGCCGGGCGCCGAGGTACGTGGAGCAAGATGGAATCTGGCGCCATCATCATCTCGACCACGAGCTCGAATCGACCGACCCTCCTGGCGGGAAGTGTCATTGAAGCGGTCCGGGTCTCGAGCTGGGCTGGTGCCGCCTGTGATGTTGCAAGTATGTCCGCGTGAGGATCTCGACGAGGCTGACAGACGAGGGAGCTTCGAGTAGTCACGATAGCTGGAGCTGTCAGAGACGGACCGGCAAGATGCATGTGAGACGGAGTAGGCATGCGGTCAACTCATTGAATGATGCTCCAAGACTCGGAGACCGACGACTCGTACACCTAATAGGGAGGAAGATCGCTGCTCGTGAGAAACCCGTGTGATAAGGAGTGAATCATGGGCTACACCTGTGAAGCTAACCACCGGGACACAGTATAGGAGGTGAAGTGAATCGAATCGAGGTCGCCCTCGACTAAGCCCGGCGGGCTGCATCGCCGAGTCGTCGAAGTGGTAGGAGGTCGTGGCAACCCGGGCGTAAGGTCGTGGCGATGGGGACCCCAATAGCTGTCACTACATGCCGCATGAATCCATGAGCCGCCGCCGCATAAGTAATCTTTGCCGGTTTCAAGGAGAGCCGCCGACGCTGGAACTCGCCCCGACGAGCTCTGAATCAGGCGGGTTGGCAACTGTCTCTCTGTGCTCGTCGTGGTTCGATCTCGCTGCATCCGCCAAGAATAGCTATGAGAGCGGGTCTCGCTCGTGGAGCCGGTGGAGCAGTAACTAGAGCTACCGCCTCGTGATCGTGGTCTCGTGGAGGCATCGAGGTATAGGCCGGTAGTCGCCGCCGAAGCCTGCCATCAGCACTCACTCACTCCCCGCTGTGCCTCTAGCTCCTCCTCCTCTCGTGGTTGCAATCCC